TGAGAAGACCCATCTCACCCACCTGTCTTGGCACCTGTCACCCCCCCTTGGGCTGATGAGGGGTTCGTCTGGCCAAAGCTCTGGCTGGAGCAAAGCATCTAAATGGGCGTGTCACCTCTTTAACTCCTTCAGTGGGTAACTTAGTCCTGATGAGTGGAAGTCCATGACAGCAGAGACCAAGGAGGCAGACCACCTTGGGCAAGTGACTTGGCCTCTCGGAACCTCCGTTTCCTCAGCCTGTAGAATTAGTTGTTGGACTGGGTCGTTGTGCTGTATGCATCTAGGCTTGGCACCTTGTGGCCTGCTGCCTGGGTTTGGAAATAAACTGAGTCGTGGTGACCGGGCCCCTGAAAGGCGGAAATGGTCAATAGCTGGTCCTTGACAGAAAGAGTTGCCATCCCCAGTGCTCTGGTGGTGTAAGACCACACAACACCCTCCTGCGTTCATGAAGTCCAAACGTGTCCCTGGGACAGAGGAATACGGGAACGAGCTTCTGTTTCGCAGGGAAGGTAAGAGAGCCTGGCCTTGCCAGGTGCTGGTACACAGTCCACGGCCCTGAATTGGAGGTCTGGTCATCACAAAGAATCTCATTGCTCTCTCCGCGAGGCATGGAGGGCAAAGTTGATGTCATCCTTTTAACAGCAGACTAAAGGCTCCGGTAAGGGGCCTCTGTGGAGTCTGGCCAATTTACAGCCAGCCCTGCACACCAGCCAGCTTGAAGAAACTGCCATGTTGTCTGAGTTTTGTCAACAGATAAAGAATGGGCAATTGCTCTGATCTCTGCAACATCCTTCCTTTTACAACAGAGTTGTGGCTCCCCTGACCTGGGTGTTTGCTGAGAGAGTACTTCGAGATGACGGAAGCCTTGTGAGCCAGGAACCACCCAGGGCCCCACATCAGTGAAGGGGTACAACTGCTGGTTTGTGTCATGACGAGAATTATGCCCGGCTCATGTACTGGGATCCAAACCCCTGTGCTGGTGGGTCATTTGGGAACAGGGTGCTTTGTTATGGTCAGGCTGTATCAGTGTCAGGTGTGTCAAATCTAATCACGTTTGAGATATGAAAAGAATAGATTAGGCGCAGAGACCAGCGGGAGCGGGGAAAGGAAGATACCTCCTGGAGATGGCCAGGGAGTGAGGGATGCTGGGACTGCAGATGCTGACAACAGTGGTCTTCCCCAGAAGCAGCAGTGAGGAAACTAGGGCTTACTCAGCTGAGGCTCAGGCTGCTGCTTCTGAAGGTCTTTCCTGGGAGCCAGTCCTCTGAATTTGGACTTTTAGGATCCCAAACTGAGAGATAAGAAATGGTCTTTAAACACCCACTTGTGGCCTTTCTGTCTCCCCAAAGCTAGAAAATAAGAGAGTCTGCAAGACGACTTTGGGGGCTTAGGCAAAGACCACATCCTGCCTCAGTGGGACTCAGCATTCAGCCATGCTGGTGCCCAGATCCGAGCGCACGGCTCCCTTTCCAGCTCTGCTTAGGTCAGAGACATGCGCAGCCCGAGCCTCAGCAGGAGAGCTGTCTCTAGCTAGTTACATTGCTGCTCTCTCCTGGTTTTTATGCATCTTTTCTGTTTATGAAAGTGGTCCAAAGTAATTTTAAACGATTAAGATCAAGACCAATATTAAGGACGTGATAGCTGGTCAGAAGGTCAGTCCAGTGAGCCGGATGTGCACAGGGCTCCACCAGCCCCAGCTGAGTAAGCCCTAGTTTCCTTGTCTCGTCCGTGAGAATCATCAGCCCAGCCATCGTTCCTGTCCTTTCCTCCCTGCTGACTTAGAAACCTTTCTAAAACGATGCCAGGTAACTCAGGAGTCAGATCCGCTTGCTCCCTGGGAATCTTGTTCCCTGTTACAGTTTTCCAGGACCTGAAATAGTGCTTGGCAACTACGTGGTCGTGGGTCACGTGAAGCAGCGCGTGATCCCTTGCCTCAAGAAGTGCAGCAATGCAAACGTGCTCCTTTACTCTGTCCACCGAGCAAAGTGGAGCCTGGTGTGTAATGCGGTGCAAGTTGGACTGCTTAGCAAAGGCCACCCACGGGGGAGAAATGGGGTCTCTGTGAATCAGAATGGACTCAGTGCCGGTGAGTTTGAGTTTTTATAGTGTAAAGTGCGGCACCCCAGTGTTAACGATGGTTCCAGGACGCCGTGCAGCATGCTGGCACAATCATTAACGTCCAGCAGAGTGGGCCTTTGGGATACCCAGGAGGGCAACACTCTCAGATCCCAGATACCAGCTCAGTACTGGCCTCCTCTGCCACCTTCTAGCACCAAAGCCTTTCTCTCTGAACTGGACAGAGACAAATGGAAGAGGGGACTCTTCAGTGGCACCAGATAAGCACTGCAGCAGAGAAACCTGAGCCCCTCCCAGCTTATTGCCCACTGCTATGGAGTCCATTTCAACACAGACCCCTCCCACATGGTTTCCAAGACTGCAAGTGTTGATAGGAACAGCCAGGCTTATCTTTTCCTAATGGAGCTTCTGGTGGGATCGAACCTTTTATCTGGCAGTTAGCAGCCTAGCCACCACACTCCCAAGTTCACTAGGAGGTATACTATTGACAAGGGGTCCTGATGCAATGTTTAAGTGCTCGGCTGCTAACAGAAAGGTTGGCGGTTCGAACCCACCCAGGGGCTCTGCAGGAGAAAGATCTAGTGATTTGCCCCCATAAAGATTACAGTAAAGACCCTTACTGAATATTTTGATCAAAGATTCCACAGGAGAATCTTGATCACAAGGGGAAAACACAGAACAGAGTTTTAAATTTGCAGAAACTCTATACTTGCTAGACTCCTGCCTTGTGATACTCTTTAGACCTTAAACCAGAAATATCCCCAAGCCTTCTTAAAACCAAACCACCGCTCAGCTTAACTAATGCAAAAAAAAACAGGAAGGCCTGTAGTATTAGCATTATGCTCTTTTAAGAATGATAGAGGGTCAAGGTGACGACATCAACTTGAAAGACTGGCTAGGAGCCTTGTCCCTTCCACTGGTTTATGTTAATTGGGGAGGAACAACTCAGGCCGATCAAGGTCACTGAATCATACCAGGGGAAACCGTCCAATTGCTGCGTAGACCCTCAACAACAGTGAGGCCACTGCAGCCAGGAAAGCCGCGGGGGCAGCTGCGCTGTCACATGGGGTCACTAGGAGGAAAACACCAGCTTGATGGCACCCGACACCCACACCAACAGGCGACCCAGTCTCTCTCAATCTTCTCACTGGGGATCCCGCGCTCTACCACCTTCGTCTTCATCAAGTAAGAATCCGAGAACAAATCGAATGTATGCATCACAGTTTCAGAGAACCACAGCTTCCCTAAGAGGTCCTAGAATCTAAAACGCCACGTCCACAAAATAACACTCACCGTAGCGGGGACCGTGTCCTCCACTGCCACAGCCAAAAGCCCAAGAGCGATGTGCCCCATTGACTGCGCAACCTGCATCCTCTCATCTCACCCCTTACAACATCACAGGTAGGAAGTGTCTCTCCCATTTGAAAGATTGAGGAAAAGCAGGCCTATTGAGTTTAAGAAACGCCTCCAAGGCCACCCAGCTGATCAGTGGCAAGACCTGAATTTCCATCTAATCTGCAGTCTCCACCTCCTGCGAGCCCGCCTCCTCTCAGTGCTTCCCATAGCCTACCATTATCACACCCTGGTGAGAGCAACCAGGTACACCCAGCACAGGGCTTAGCATTCCTTAAGAATTGTTTTCAGAGCAAGTAACATGCCAACAACTTTACAAGTCACCTTATTGGGCCTGGCATGTTTTAAAAAATGATCGGAGGAGCTACTTTACAGCATCTTTAATGCTCTGAAGTGAAAGTGCTTTCCGCAAGGTTTTCCACCTGAAAAACGCAACGCTCTTGACATCTGAGTGCAACGCCCAGCGGTGAAGCGCGGTTGCAGCCAGCTGTCTGACGCTGCTTCTGCCATCAGGTTACGCAAAAACATCATGAATGATTAAGCGTGGGAAGAGAGGTCAAGAAATGGTGCTTTCTCGGGAGCACTAGGCTGGAAGAGACAGTGACCCAAGAAATGGGCAGCCCTGCCTCCTTGTCACACACGTCTTCTCGTCACCGAGGAGAACACACTGAAGTTATCAAAACAAGCGGTGAAGCCTGCCAAGTGCGGCCCAGCCCCCCAGGCTGCCTGCCTCCCTGGCCGTATTGTCTCCCACACTCAGGCTGCCCTTGGCAGCTCCAGCAGCCTGATATCAAAGCAAGTCATGGAGGTGAGCATCCCGAGCCTGGGTCCCCTGATCCTCGCCTCACTCTCTCCTCTGATGATTCCCGTGATGCTTTCCCCTCTCTCATTGTGCCCCACCCCCCACCCCCCAAACCTGGATGTTCCCATAATGCTCTTCTCACTCTCTCCCTTGGATAGTCCCATGATGCTCTCCCCTTCTCTCCGTTCCCTTATCACCCACCACTCACTCCTGCAGGGAACTTGAAAATGAACATTCCTTGTCAAGACCTCCTTCCAGACTTTTCCAGATGCCCGTCTGACCACCTCCGTGATCCAAAAGTCTCGGTGAAGAGCATTCCCTGTCTCCTCGCCTTCCTGACTCTAAGGCACCTTTCACATTTCTCACTTGATCGCCGCGCCTGTAGTCCCACGGGGAGCAGGTGCCAGCACCGGTGTCCACTTGTCTGAGCAACCCTGTTCCAGGTGACAGCATGCGGCTATTTAAATTTCAATTCGTTAAAATGAAATAAAATTCAAAAGCCTCCTGCAACCAATCCTGGAAGGCTGTTTGGTTCCATGTTGACTAGGGATGCTAGGTGGGACTGAAAATCCCCACTGGGCTCGGGCCCTTGTCAGACCACAGCTCTCTCAGCCTCACGCTGGGTCATTTCTCCTTGTCCCTAGTTCTGTAAAGACGCTTCTTTCCTGCCACAGGTTGTCAGAATGACCCTCTTAATTCACACCAGGAATCAGGCTGTTCTGACCAAATAAATGTTCATCAAGTAAAACGTGGACTCGAACTACCACATACAGAGTCTCAATGCAACTTTCCAGTCTGACGGCCATGTCTCCATGTACACTGCATACAGCTGCCTCTCTGTGTCCCAGGTAAGCCCCAGGTAGCCCCTCTGCTGGCTCTTTGCTCAGCTCTCATACCCTGGCTGCCTGCTCACCTCCTCTCCGGTCTGCACAGCCCATTTCAAATGCTACTCTCTGCAGGAGACCAGCTGGACCCCAGAGACCCATGCCTTCTACAAGCCTTTCAAATGCAGAGCCCTGCTCCTGGTACTACTGTGGAGGATCTCTTTTGAGGAGGGGCGGAGGGCAGTGGTTAGCTGGGGGGTAGATGAGCTGCAGTAAACTTCAGATGCCCCGTTCCCACCCCCAGGCATACGACATCAGAGAAGTCACCCATCGGGTGCACTGCAGAGGGGCTGTGAGGGAGCACGTGGAGGCGGCCCCCACCCCATGAAAGTGCTGGGGTTTTTTGCGGGGGAGGGGCAGTATTAAAAATCTCCAGTATTAAAAATCAATACTCACCCTTCGAAGAGTACGCTTTCTTTCCCGGCTCTACTGTCTCAGGCAGAAGCTGCTAATGAGATTCTGGAGTGACAAGAAACAAAATGACAGAGCACTCAATCACCTTGGGGTAAGAAGGAACTGTGAGCAGCAGGGCAGGTAGCCAGCTCTCCCCGGAGGCAAAGTCAAAGTTCAAAACTCTGCAGCCTGAGTGTGCCCCTTGCTCAGGTCATCTCCCCAGTTCAACACCCCACCCTGGAGTGCACAAAGGGCAGGGCGGCTCAGACAATGAGACAGGCACTGGCATGTTCAAAGGCAGCCAGTGACCTGATGAGGGGGCACAGGCTGGGCTCTGTGATACCCGGCCTGTGGGGATGGGAAGCCCAGTAAAGGAGAAACAGCCGTGCTCAAGTGAAAAGTGCACCTAGAGACTACACACCTAACAAAGAACCTGAAGTAAGGACAGGAAACCCCCCTCTCCCACCCAAGCTTGGGCAGCCACTAATGGGCAAGTGGGAATAATATTTCTCCCATAGTAGTTAGGGGCAAGGGCCCACAGTTCTCCAAAACGGGCTGGTCAGTCACAAAGAGGGAGACAAGTCCTGATACATGGAACATCCTGGATGGACCTGGGAAATAAGCCAGACCCAAATGGACAAATGCCCACGGACTCTACTTAAGTGATGTTTCTAGAACAGACAGATGCCTACAGACAAAAGTAGAGTGGTGGCTACCAGGGGCTGGGCAGGGGAGGGACAGGAGTGTTTGCTGAAGGGGTACTGCGTTTTCTTTTAGGGTGACATCCAATCTTTGGAAACAGATCATGGTCCTGTTGGCATAACAGGGTGAACGTAATCCAAGTCACTGACTTGTATGCTTAAAACTGGTTACAACCAAAAGCAGGGCTGAGCAGAAGCTGTGAGCTTCTGGCCAAGGCCCAGCAGCAGGAGAAGAAGGAGACAGACAAAGAAAATACAGCAAAAGCCCTGAATTGCTTCAGATGGGTCAAAAAACAATAAAATGATAAATTCTGCTTTAAAATAAATTCTGCTTTAAATTCTGCTAAAAATATGGTCATGGGCAAGACCTTTCTGCGTGTGTTATGAAACCCAGAGGCCATAAAGAAGAGATGGACATGCTGATTGCATGCAAACGCTTACAGTTTTCACGCATGCAGTGCACACGGGTGAAAATGGTCACTACGTCTCAGAGGCAACAGATTGTTTCCTTAAAGTAAAACAGAGCGCCACCCTAAAGGCCACTAAGAATGACGACAACGACAGAAACCTCAGCAATCCAGTCGAAAACCAGGCAAATGACACGAAAGGATGTTTTACCACAAAAGTCACAGGAGACATCTCACCTATTAAAAGATGCTCGATCTCATGTATGGTAAGAGGAGTGCAAAGTAAAACGGCATGGTCAATCCAGCTTCATTACACGGGCAGAGAACAAAACGCTGAGCAGACTGCGTTGGTAGGATTTGGGGTAGACTCTCACGTTCCCCTCAACAAACACAGCGCAGGCAGACGCATCTGCCCTGATCAGCGTCTACCGGAAAAGCACCCAGCTCCTGATTCACCCGTCTCCTTTCTGGACATCCATCCATGGCGATACCAGAACAGGTGTGAAAGTCTGCTAGATTATTTAACCCAACATTACTGATGATGAAAGATTGGAAATACCTTCCATTCTCACCCAGGCCCTCTATCGGGGACTCGAAAGTCTGATGAAGGAGCTCTGTGCAGGAGTGCTCTGGCCAGGCATTAAGAACACACAGAGACAAACCTACTGTTACCGAGTCAGTTCTGTCTCAGAGCCACCCTGTAGGACAAAGCAGAACTGCCCCTGTGGGTTCTAAAACTGTAACTCTTTCCAAGAGTAGAAAGCCTCACCTTTCTTCCAGAGAGAGGCTGGTGGTCTCGAACTGCTGACCTTACGGTTAGCAGGCCAATGCATGACCACTGGACCACCAGAGCTCCTAGAATTAACTATAGTCCTTTAAAGTAACAAGGAAGCTTATCTGCCCCTCTGGGGGAATGATCTCTAAGGGATGGTGTTCTCTCAAGAAAGCAACAAGGAACAAGAGCGGACAGAAGCAGCACGTCCTGTGAGGAGGGCAGGGGGAACACACTATACCGCACGTGTGGATGTTTCCGATGGCTACCCGAGAACCTGGCTCTGGGAAGGGAAGGAGGGACAGAGGGGAGAAGGAGGCTTTTCACGATACCCTTTTGTACCTTTTGAATTGCTAACCTTGTCGATGCATACAGTCTTTTTCCTATAGAATTACAAATTCTATATCAACTCTCAAATAAAAGAGAGAGGCCAGCAGTTGCATGTGGCTGTTTAGATAGGTGGTGGGGGGAGAAGGGGAAGAAAGGGGGAACCGATCGCAGTGATCGACATCATAGCAGAACAACAGAAAGGTGGGTGCAGGGAGACAGCGGACGTTTGTAAGGTATGAAAATAATAATCATTTATCATTTATCTAGGGGTCACGAGGGAGGGGGACAAGAGGAGCTGATACCAAGAGCTCAAGTAGAAAGAGAATGTTTTGAGAATGATGATGGCAACCTATGTACAAATGTGCTGGACACAATGGATGGATGGATGGATGGTGATAAGAGCTGTAAGAACCCCCAATATAATGATTTATTTATTTTGTTAAAAAAAAAGAAGAATTAAACAAAAATAAATGGCATGCATTTCAAAGCTCCGTTCCGTGGCTGCACAGCCACAGCCACAGGTGCTCGGTGGAGCTCACATGGAGTGCCACATGGAAGCGCTGAGGCCACTGGGAGGACAAAGCCTATGAAGAAGAAATGGACACTCGGTGGGGCAGCTCTTTTCCGGGTTGCTAGGGGTCAAACGCAACCCAATGGCACCTCACAAGCGTGCTCAAAATCTACCTGTGGCTAATGGCTCTTACAATGGATAGCACCTATCTAGAGCATGTTCAATTCTGGAGCAATTGTTCTTATTGAGGGGAGAGAAACTCGGGGGCTGTCATCAGGGCAGAACCCCCGCGATCTCTACCCATCAGTGATCTCTACCCATCAGCCCGGTGGCACCCTGCAGACTCAGTCCCACACTCAAAGGCCGAGGACACTTCCTACCCTGTGCCATGTCCCCACCCAAAGGTTAAACCAGGTAAAACTGTAGGAACTCAGTTTTCAAAGGTTAAGGTCCAGCAGATAAGAATCTGCTACTTTGGAACCATCCCCTCCTCCCCCACCCAACTCCAAAGGTGCCCTTATGCTCCTGTCTCCCCTGAGGCTCGGAGGGAGGGACTGATGAGAAAGTTCACTCTATTCTACTTTGCCCACAGCCCTGGCAACAGGTTCTCCCTGGAGGTCTTGTTGGGCTGGGCCCCACTTTATGTTTCTGGGGCAGTGTCTGGGGCAAAGACCACTGGGAAGCCAGGCTGGTTCTTTGGGTGGAGAACCAGAGAATGACAAAAATCCTGCTACACAGTTCCCTGGACAAGCGACACAGTGGAGGAAGGCCGGGCCGGAGGCAATAGGCTCCGGCTCTGTGGGACTGCTTACAACCAGAACGAGCTGCCGAAAACCCTCTAGCCAGTCTCCTGCTGGAGAAACGGGAGCCAAACCTTGGTCCTCCGTCCCTAAGGTGCTCTGTGTCCTCAGGCATCCTTGCTAGTCCTGACTCCGGAGACCCCAGCTGTGCAGGGTAGAGATGCTCCCCTGGGTGTTCAAGGGTTCAGGCTCAGGGGAGCCCAGAACACACTCTTAATGCAAACACCCACGGGGCCAGGAATGAGTGTGGAAACAGGCTCGTCATCAGCTGAGGTCCCCCTCAGAGGTACCGTGCTGGAGAGCCTTCATAAGGAAGGCACTCTTTTCCACATGACTGAGGAATGAAATTAGTTCTCCGTGTGTCAGTGCAGCTGCAGACGTCCTGAACTAGAATCTCAGTACCCCCAAACCTGCTCCCTTTGCTCGAGCCCTCCTGCCTTAAGGGAAAAGCCAGGAGATGAAAGAGGCTTTGGGGATGGTTGCTTGTTTTAAGGGGGGAAGCTGGGTCACAGTATTTGATAACTGTAGGAACAAAGCCGGTGTTAAGCAAAAGGCAGCTTCTCTTAACAACTGGCAGGTCTACAGCAGGACAAGAGAGCTGGCTCCCAGCACCAAGTCTAGGATTCAAAACCCTCAGTGAGCTCTGGGCTCCCACCTGATTTCTAGCCAGCCCCCATTCCCAAAGGAGAGCTCAGGAACCCAGGGAAACTTGCACCAAACAAAGAGGCCATATGGCGAAGCCGCATGCAGCATTTCCTTGCCGAGTGCAAAACAAAATTCAACAACCAAAAGACAGACAAGCCAAGAAAAAGAAAAAGCGGTCAAAGGTCCTGCAGCCACATTGCTCCAAAGAAGGTATTCCCGTGACCAGGAAGCCCACGAACAGGCCGGGAGCTCCAGGAGAAAAAGGCAAATCAAAACGAAATGAGATGCCGCTTCGTCTCCATGGCGATGGCGATTATCTGAAAAATGGAAAACAACCAGTGTTGGCGAGAACTGGGAGAAACTGGAAGCTTAGCGCACTGTTGGTGGGAATTGCAAGATGGCGCAGCTGTGAAGAGTTGGGTGTTTCCTGAAGAAGTTAAATGCTTAAAAAAAAAAATTAAATGCAGAGGTAAAATTAAAAAAACACTCACAGCCACCCTACAGGACAGGGTGGTACTGCCCCCGGGAGTTGTCAAGGCTGTAACTCTTTTCGGAAATAGAAAGCCCGTCTCGCCCAGAGCTACAGCATTGTTATGTTGGGTGCCATCGGTTGGTTCTGACCCACAGTTCTGACCCACAGTCCTGCGCCCTCCTCCACAATCATGCCCGGGCTCGAGCCCATTGTTGTAGCCACTGGGTCAGTCCATCTCGCTGAGGGGCTTCCTCTTTTTTGGTGGCCCTCCACTTTACCAAGCATGCTCTCCTTTTCCAGGGACAGGTCTCTCATGACAATATGTCCAAAGTCTGCAAGACAAAGTCTTTGCTAAAAGGACGAATTTGTCTTGGAAGAAGTAGGGCCAGAGTGCTCCTTAGAGGCAAGGAGGGCAAGAACTACGATAT